ACAGCGGATAAAATTATGAAATATTTTGATTATCTGGTCATTGACAAAAATAAAATTTCACGCGAGCGTAACAAATGTAGAGCACAAACTGAAGCAGCAACAAAAACTGGCACTGATCTTAAATGCATTTCGTATGATGGTAAACAGGACGTAACACTAAAAAAAAAAATAGTTCACGGTAGCGTAAGAACAATGCTTCTAAGAGAGGAGCATATTACAATTTTGAAAGAGCCTGATTCGAAATTTATTGGATACGTATCTCCAAAAGAAGGCACTGGGGAAGCAATCCAGCAAGCAATAGTAAGCTTTTTGAATACCCAAAAATATTGCTTAAACGAACTTGTAGCTATAAGCTGTGATGGTACAGCTGTCAATACTGGATATAAAATTGGAGTAAATGCACAAATGGAACGTTATTTACAAAGGCCCTTGCAGTGGAATGTGTGTTTGTTACATTTCAACGAGTTGCCTCTAAAAAAGTTGTTAACGCATTATATTGGCAAGCAGAAAGGACCTGGTGTTTGGCCAGGGGTGTTGGGGTCTGAAATTATGACTTGCACCAAATACCCGGTAGGTTGTCCACACTATAATAGTTAATGTTATAAACAAAAACATATATTTTCCTTATCAGGTTGTAAGTGGTTTTGAGGCTATTGCTATGGGAGTTATTCCTGAAAATATTGGCTCTTGGGAATTACGCAATGATCAGCGTTATTTATTTGATATGGTTTTGGCAGTAAATAATGGTGAATGCGATGAATATCTCGCTAGTAAGAGCCCCGGTCCCGTCAGTACAGCTCGGTGGCTTACAACAGCTTCCAGGTTACTTCGGGTATATGTTTCCAAAGAAAGCCCGTCAGCGGAGTTGCGAAACATGGTAGAGTTTGTTGTGAAAGTTTATGCACCATTCTGGTTTCTTGTAAAGAGCCAGCCACAAGCAATTCATGGAAGTAGACACGTTTTTAAGTATATTTGCTGGATACGCGAACTATCAAATGCTGTTCAAGCCATTATACGTTCAGCTATAGAAAATAATGCATATTATTTTCACCCAGAAAATATATTATTAGCCATGATAACCGACGCTGATCCAGAGATACGTAATGATGGGTACGAAAAAATCAAAACAGCACGTCAATATCCACCAGCAGGGCTTCGCGTGTTCAAGGTCCCAAAGCGTGGCGTAATAAACTTTGAAAGTAAGTCGTATGTCAGCATGATCGATTGGAGTCAGTTTAAGATTACGGAACCCCCTTGTGTGCAGTTCTACCCAGATAGTGAACTTACAATGTTTCAATTTTCGGAAAATGAAGTGATAAATATCCCAGGTAAATATCTTCAAACTAAAAACTTCACGGGTCTTATAGTACTTTTAAATCATTTTTTTTTAGAGTTCCTCTGTCATTCCCAGAATACCGAACGGTTTGTGCGTGTTGTTAGTGAGTCTGCAAGTGCTGTCACTGATGAAAAGCGCCTGGGCCACATTTTTGCAAAATTAGAAAGCCGAGACCAATATAAAAGCCTTGATTCGCGCCAAAATTTGCTTAAGTAGCAATAAATATTGTAAGTGAAATAACTTTTTTGTTGATTATTTTAGTAATATAGTTTGAAGGCAACATTTTCTTGAATTTTTAAGTACTTTCGTTTGGTAAGGAAAAAAATATGCTTTAGGGGGGGTAAAATTTTGTTTCTGCCCTTATCATGCGAACGCGACTTCAAAGCTTAAAAAGACATAAGAACGAAAAGTGAAGCTTCTCAAGACAAAAATAATGACATATCAATTTTAAAAATCGGCCGTCAAATAACCAAGTTACAACGAAAAAACCATTTCGGCTGTATTTCGGAGGGTTAATAAAAAAAAAAAAAAAATTTTTCCAGAACCCTCTCAACATAATCTTTAAATTTAGGGGCGGACATTAGCAACTTTTTTTTTTTGTATGGGGACCGACCCAGTCTAGTGTATATTATAAGGGAACCGTCTTGGGCGAGTACTTATTGTTAATATTAAGGGTTCAAATTTCCGGGGAGTTTTTTTATGTGTTTTCTACGTAAGAGTGAAAAAAACAATAGTCGTAAAAAAGCGCCCTAATATATATATATATGATTTATATACATATCTACAAATATATATACACACATTTTGTGAATATTGATATATGATCATGTGGCACATTTATATTAGGGTGCTTTTTTTCGGCGACTATTTTTCCCTGAAAATTTTAGCCCTTAATATTAATATTAAGTGTTCGCGACCAAGGCGCGCAAAGATTTCCCGTTCAAAATACACGTAAACTTCGATAGCTTTTCTTCAATATTCTATTACTCAGAGGCATTTTATGGTATAATGTTGGTCAGTGATAGAGTTTCTTCAGAATTGAATTCTCTACAAAGATGTCCATTGCGGCGTAACCCTAACTCCCACCAGCGGGTCACTAAACCCAATTTTTTCAGGTAATTCTCCTTTTTTTTTGCCGTTATCTCGTAAATAACAAGAGCCACAGAAAAATCGATCACTTAATATTAAAATTAAGGGCTCAAATTTTCGGAGAAATTGTTTTCAAGTATTTCCCATAAAATAGTCGCCGAAAAAAAGCACCCTAATGCACATATAAGATTTATTTATGCAGATGTATGTAAATGCATTTTTACATACATATTTATGTACTTATTTATATGTATGTATGTACAAAAACGTACGTATGCCATTCATTGATGCAAATTAAATGCATATAGTATTTTCGTTACGAAATAGCCATCTATCTACACTAAAGTGGTCCAAAAATGTATGTAAAAAAATAAGGTCGGATTTTTAATGCTGGCACGCCCTAGGATTGTTCTATATCGAAACAAATATACCCCTATTTTTTTATTTTGAAATCAAAAAATATTTAGGGGGTGCTCAAAGCGCTCAAAGTTTTCCAGGTATTTTATATGGAGAAAAAACCATTTTTCGTAGAAATGGTATAAAACTCTTAAAAATCAATATTTTTCGATCGGAAAACTTTTCTTATCTTCCCAGTAATAATACGCAATTGTCTCTTTAACCATTTTTTCATAGTAACTATATTTTATAGGTCCTCCAAAACCCATAGAAAATGCAATGGAAAAATCTTTAATCAAAAAAAATGGTTAAATAAATAATTGGATATTAATACTGGAAGTCTCCTGAAGAGAACCACAGTTTTCCGATTGAAAAATATTGATTTCTAAGAGTTTTATACCATTTCTACGAAAAATGGTTTTTTCTCCATATAAAATACATGGAAAACTTTGAGCGTTTTGAGCACCCCCTAAATATTTTTTTATTTCAAAATAAAAAAAAGGGGTATATTTCTTTCGATATAGAACAATCCTAGGGGGTGCCGGCATTAAAATTCCAACTTAATTTTTTTGGACCACTCTAATCTACACATGTACGTACGTATAAAATATTCTTAATTAGTAAATAAGTTACTGATTCTATATATACACATTCATATATAAGTATATATATAAATAGATATAAATATATATATATTTACATACATATATATATATATACTGCGTACACAAGTATGGAATTTGTTGTAGAGAAGTATTAATAAACAAAAAATAATAACAATAGGAAGTATGCTTCAACCTCCAGACCCCTTCCCTTCCTCCCATCTCCCCCCCTCGCTCAAAAAAAAAAACAACCAAAATAAGACAATTTTTGTATTTACCATATGAGACAAGGAATAACCATTAAAACGACATGCTCCGCACGTAGCTGGTAATGAAATGTTAATTATGCGAAAAAAAAACAAAAAAAGTGTATTCATCATATAAATTGAATCGTAAATTGAAACAAAATGCAGAAAAATGAGCACTTCTTTTTTTTGTAATTTTATCACAAGCAGATGACATTACCCAATAAACATAGCTTTGAAAACAACTTGAGGTTAGGATACTTTCAAATATTTGGATAGTATACCATCCCACATATAGTCTAATATAACGGGTGATTTTTTAAGAGCTTGATAACTTTTTTTTTTAAAAAAACGCATAAAATTTGCAAAATCTCATCGGTTCTTTATTTGAAACGTTAGATTGGTCCATGACATTTACTTTTTGAAGATAATTTCATTTAAATGTTGACCGCGGCTGCGTCTTAGGTGGTCCATTCGGAAAGTCCAATTTTGGGCAACTTTTTCGAGCATTTCGGCCGGAATAGCCCGAATTTCTTCGGAAATGTTGTCTTCCAAAGCTGGAATAGTTGCTGGCTTATTTCTGTAGACTTTAGACTTGACGTAGCCCCACAAAAAATAGTCTAAAGGCGTCAAATCGCATGATCTTGGTGGCCAACTTACCGGTCCATTTCTTGAGATGAATTGTTCTCCGAAGTTTTCCCTCAAAATGGCCATAGAATCGCGAGCTGTGTGGCATGTAGCGCCATCTTGTTGAAACCACATGTCAACCAAGTTCAGTTCTTCCATTTTTGGCAACAAAAAGTTTGTTAGCATCGAACGATAGCGATCGCCATTCACCGTAACGTTGCGTCCAACAGCATNCGAACCGAACACTGATTTTGGTAATAAAATTCAATGATTTGCAAGCGTTGCTCGTTAGTAAGTCTATTCATGATGAAATGTCAAAGCATACTGAGCATCTTTCTCTTTGACACCATGTCTGAAATCCCACGTGATCTGTCAAATACTAATGCATGAAAATCCTAACCTCAAAAAAATCACCCGTTAGATCTATCAAACTATCGATACAAGGGACCGAACATAACAGTTATTGGAGGAAATGTTTTACAACTAAGGGCCGTTTTCTCATCTAACCTTTAGATTACCGGCCACTTTATCGTCTCGATATACGAGTTTTTGTTTTCTCATCTGCGCATTAATTTCTCGAATCGATAAATTGTTGCTCACCCGATGCAACCTTTAAAAATTTTTACCCAACTTTAAATTTTGATTTGGTTTTGGTTCAAGAGTCAGATATATTAGATATTTCAACCAAGGTTTTGGTTTTTGTTGCTCTTGCTCTATATTTGCTTATGTTGCAAATAAGATGGTAAGATAAGAAAACGAAAACACTTTAAAGTGAGGAACAATTTATCCGCCCTGTTAGTAAAGGCAACTTCACTACTTACATTAGAAAACGGCCCTCAGTGATACATACCAATCGATTTCTTTTTTCACCGATACTCAAATTTAAAAATAAATTTTTATTTGCAATTTATATGCAAAATTAAAAAAATAACAATTATTTTTGATTTTTAAATTATAAATACAAAATAACAATTATTTTTTATTTTTATATTATATGTCTTAGATAACAGGTATTGAAGAATTTTATCAGTAAAAGTCATCAATAAAAATCAGTCAGTGAATTTTACTTTTAAAAGTCATCAATATAAGTCAGTCATCGACTTTTATTTTTTATATCATTCGTATAAAAGTCATTAACATATTTTGCTATTAAGAAGGTGTTGGGGAAACAAAAGTTTACTACGACTTATACAAATGACTTTTATATGTATGATTTAAAAAATAAAGATCAGTGAAGGATTTTTAGTTATGACTTTTATAATTAAAAGTCTTCGATAACTGTTATCTGAGACATATAATTTAAAAATCAAAAATAACTGTTATTTGCAATTATTTAGATAAAAAACAAAAATATATGTTATTTTGGATTTATATTATAAAAGTCAGAAATAACGGTTATTTAACGAGTAATTAAATAAAAGTAAAAAAAATAATTGTTAAAGAGCGATTTTTTTTTAAGTTGTAACTGTTACTGTCCCTGATCGATACCATGCGCATGCGTTTAGAATGATACGTAAGTTGGCAAATCGGCGAATTTCTAGTCTTCTTAGAAGCAGAGATACTGGCTTTAACAAAGGTCGAATCCCACTGGCGAATCCTAATGACAGCAAAATTTTTTACAACAGTTTCTTTGCTTTCCTGAAAAGTACCCATTTTCACATTTGATAGCTTGACATGGTAGCGACGATATCATCAAAATGATAGAAAGCTCACTCGAGTACACACTACTTCGTTGGCGCTATGGACTTTTCCAAAGCTCATAATTATAGTAAACAATTAGATTTTGGATTGAATTATTTTCGAGCATTCACGATTTCACCCGAAATTTGGTTTTTTGATCGAAGATTAGCGATCATTAATAATTTCTATTATAGATTGAATGGAACACTCTTCGAATTCAATATGCTATATTTATAAGGNTTATGGGAAGATGTATGAAAATTCAACTTGCTATAATTTCATATGCTTAACAGTATCACAACAGTATGTTTACAGTATCTCCCCATAACTTTTCATATGAAAAAATTTATTATATGCATCCCACTCCATATCATTGAATTCCTCATTAGAACATGTAGTCCCTCTATTTTAGCGTATCAACAGTTCATATGGCTTCATACCATGTAAATGCGCCATAACCCGACGGGCTTCTTCTCGTCCAATATTTGGCGAAAATAGAATAAAATCAAGTATTAATTTCATTGAATTCTTTGGGCTCGTTTGGACTTAGTCAAGAATAACCTGAATAAAAAGTAGGCTAACTTTTGACTTAAGCCCAAAAAATGGCTAAACTAAGTTAAGTTGAGTTGGAGAAATCAGCTCTATGCATTTTATTGAAATCTA